ACTCCACTTCTACGCCAAGGAGACGTGATGGATTCCTTTTCTTCCGTACATTTCTGCGCTAGTTGTGAAAGGTTCTGGACGTACGTATTCAGACCGACTACAGGGTGAGATTTTTCGGTATTGGTGGGTCGGCATTCTGTGCTTCGCCCGTGTCTGTTAGGACTCGTGAGAATTCATTACCACCTTCGTGTTTTCGCTTTGGCATTATTTTCCACTTGTGTTACCGGCCGGGGGACTTATAGAATGAGCGCTACTTTTGATATTTGACATGATAGATTTTCCTTTATCAACTCTGAGGAAAAGGCCTAGGAATGAATATGATGAGGTTGTAGCTATAGCAGGCAATCAAAGACACAACAGAAAGTAAAAATGCCTACAGTCCCAGAAATGCAGGCAGGAGTGATAAATTCATTCTTCAATTAAATCGTTTGAATTTTGTGCCCTAATTTTTAACTTTCACATCATTTCCGATTCCTTCATTTCTGAAGACAACCTATGATGCGTGGCTTAAACAACTAGGGGCCTGCTTATTATCTCATTAGCCCCTTTCTTAAAGGGCGATAAGTTGGCGTTGTACGTGGTATTGATTAATAAGGATAATTATAAATGATTTACGAACGCCTTGAAAAATAATCTTTAAAAAGTCGACAAAATCCTAGGGCTGACTTTTTTTAAGGCAAGAAAAGACTTGGAAGTATTCAATACGGCGTTTTTCAATTTACTGTAGCTGAGTTTTGTGCTCGATGGATTGTTTACAACTCCCGTGTATTCGCGTAGAAGAAGCCGTTTCGTGAACTCAGCGTTTTCTAACCAGGAAATTTTGGCTCAAAAGTCGAAGTTTATTTATGACAAACACATTTAAAAGGGAATGTTTGCAGAAATTCTACGTTTCAAGTAAACAGGAAAAAGAATAATATAGGAAGACGACGTCTTACCTCGAGCAACCGAGCCACCATTTTTGTCAGCACTAGAAACAGCACAGACTAGAAACAACAGACAACTCCCAAAGCACAAACTCAGCCAAAACGCTAAAAATCTTCAATGTTTACTCAAGTTTGGGCTTATAGAGGATAATGTCACAGTTTTTCAATGACCATGAAATTCAGAGTCCGGGTAGTTAGTTAATCAATTGTGGCCCTGAAAAAATTTGAAGGAAAAAAACTACGAATTTTTAAGAAAATGCTTTTTTCGTGAGAAGGACTCTTAAACGCTGACAAACGTCAACAAATAGCGAAAACTATAATTTCTATATGTTTGCTTTGCTCGAAATCGTGCGCATTTACAAGGCCCTAAGCGTTTTGCTGACTTGCAAGGACCCATCTGTCATAACGATGCCCAAAATAAAGAGATGAATCTCATAGTTTATTAGATATAATCCGTGTAAAGTTTGCTTATCGTTTTCGCATAAATTATGACCTAAATTTGGAAACCGCTAAATTTCTCGAATTGGGTCTTTGCGATTTTGGTGAAACTCTGCTCAGCGCAAGGCACTAATACGCACTATGTGTTTCCGAGAGATTTTCACGAAAAAATGCTGGCAACAGCAGATTTTCGACTCAGACCTCAAAGGGGAGTGGCATTATAACCACGTGACATTTACTCCGATCGCCAAAAATTTTATGTTGTATTGTAGATTGATCTATATGTTATCCATTCTATGTGTTAGACTTACGATAAAAGTAAAGGTTGGGATACCAGAGAGCCTCAAAGTAGGATGGTACTCCCCCCCAAAAAAACTGGGTCGAGTCACCATAAGAGCCATAATGGCTCGTAATCACAACAGATTAGGCTTAGAAACAAATTATTAGAAAACAAAATCTGGCAGAATTTTTTGAATTCGACAAATCTGGTGAAGTGTAAACCAGCATTTTATACTTTTTATACATCACATCTGAGGTGAACAGTACTATGAGGCGCTGTTTCTATCATACAGACCTCGGACAGAATGCAGTTTTACACAATTTTTTCAAGTCAAAATGCACTCATTCAACATTCAGGACGATCAAAGCACGCGCTTCCTTTGCACAACAAATTATAAAAATGACCGCATCTTGATGAAAACAACGGGCACATCGATTAAAATTGCAAGAGAGACTACCATCAATCAATAAAAGAAATATAATTCGGTGAAAAATTTAAAATTTACAGAGACAGCAATTTTTATTCATGAAGACAAGTATTGAGATTAAAGTGTCTCCAAAAATCCTGAGTCATGTATTTAGCATATAAGGTTAAAACCATACTAACTGTTAACTTTGTTTCCTTCTCGGTGTTCTTTTTTTTTCTTTTTTTAGATGAGCTCGAGGCAAGAAAATAGCTCAAAGCTTTTTTTACAGCCAAAATTATAACTAAACATTCTTCGAAACGGTTTCTTTCTATTTGCGGTTAGAAAATGTATAAAGGCTTTTTAAAGTTCTGTATATCAAACCTGATAATAGGTCAGACCAGTGTCTCGAATCTCACAATGTTCATAAACTTACTAGCCGCATAAACTACGTTCGACTTCATGAAACCGGAAAAAGAAACAAACAAACATCAAATACAATTACGTAGGCTTACCAGTTGAGAGATGAAGCTCCTGAGAGCCGTCAAGTAAAGCCAGAATCGCTTGAGGCTTTTCAATCCTCTTACGCATCAAGCAAGGTGAAAATGAAACCGACACCATGTGAAATCGGATTTCCGATGACTTTGACAAGCGGCGCATTTCTCAACCAAAAACCCAATAAACAAACCAGCCATAAATAAAAGAAAATCTTGATCGCAGCTGTATGCTATTTTGTAAAACTAATGGGAAAAGACAGTTCAAAACAAAACAAGATGACGACACAAAACTCTGAAAGCTTTAGTTATAGGTAAACAAGTTTCCAGATGCTGCATAGATTTTCCTCTTGAACCCACTTGTCAAATTTCTGAACAATCAGGGCACAAAAACTGGAAGTAGAACGTGACCAACGCGTGACCATAGCGAGAAAAGTAAAAAGCAACCGCCTTTCTTGTCCTGCCTGTAATAGGTGGCTGAATTTTCGAGTCAGAGGTCAGTTTCAGATCAACATTTGATATTTCGGCTCATAACACGACTCATTTTCTATACATTTCAAAAAAATGAATTTGAGCCTGCGATTATTTGAAAACTAGTAACTTGTAGGGGGATAACTTCAAAAAATACTCGACCTCGAGCTCGAAGGGCCAATTCTTGAGCCCGCGATACGGTCAGGTGATACTGGTCACAGTAAATTGATCGCAAATGGATGTGCAATAACAGGTTGCACCTGGGCTCCCAAACTAGCTAGAAAGTGTGAGATTAAACATTGGTCTCCCTGTAGTGCGGACGGACGCTCGGTCGGGCGGTCGGTCGGTGTACGGTCACGGGATTACCAAATTTTCTACGATGGATAGATTTACTTAGCTATGGGGCTACGCTCGCGGGCGCCTTCCACATGCTTGGTGCTGCGCTATAATTTTTAACTCGACGTTTTGTATATGCTTCAACATACCTCTTTAGAAGTGACCGTACATGAAAGAGACAACGCATGTAGATAAGTAACTAATAAATGCGAACGAAACAATATGAGTGACAGATTATAATCATTGTAAATACAAACCTCGGTCTGATTTTCCATTTTGGACTTCTCTTTAATACATACTAAGATAAAACCTGTTAATCATGACTTGAAAATTGGCTTCCACCAAACGTTTCTACCAAAACTGACTTTCTAACATTGAATTAAACACCTATACTCCTGCTCCGTAAAAAAACATATCTTAACGAAATCCATGTATTGGTATTGCTGTGCTTTTTCATAGAAAAATAACACTTTTGAACCTCGATGAAATAAGGCTAGCTTTGATGCATGAAAACAGTTACTATCTCATTTTCAAGTGCCAACTAGACACTTTCGTCGTAATTAAGTGTTTTTGTTCATTTGGCGTTTTCTTGCCAAACCAGGTAAACTAATCTTAATCATCATCGTCATCATCATCATCATCATCATCGTCATCATCGTCATTATCATCATCGCCATCGCCGTTGTCGTCATCGTCATCACCATTGTCATCATCATCGTCGTCATCGTCATCACCACTGTCATCATCATCATCATTATCATCATCACCACTGTCATCATCATCATCGTCGTCATCGTCATCACCACTGTCATCATCATCATC